ATCGGGCAAGTGGCACCACCACCTCTCTGTGCCTCTGTTTCCTTGGCTGTAAAGCAGAAGCCAGCTTAAGGCAGGGCAGCTGGATGAGGTCTGTGACTACGGCGATAACAGGTGCTCAGCTCCAGGCATATTCATTTGCAGACCAGATGCTGTTCTCTGCGAGGGGTCCGGGGCTTGCCCAGAGGGCTGGAACCAGCCTTCCAGGTGCTGGCACGGCTCGGGGGACAGAGAGATTCGTGTTGGCCACAGGAAACTGCCGCTTCAGTTGCCCTCCTTGGTCACATCGTGGGGAGGAAGGGGAGTCTGGGGGGCAGACGAAGGAGACAGCAGAGCTTGAGCCTCCGTGGGGGCCCAGACAAGGGACAGCCATCGCGGAGCTCAGAGTGGCCGTGCTCTGTGACGATGAAGTCCACAAGCTCCAAGACACGGCAGTCGTGCCCCGGGTCCAACCCCCATCTCCTGCCCGCCGCAAAAGCAAGCACAAAGGGGCTTCACTGCTCCAGGGGTGGATTAGCAGTGTCAGTGTCTCCTGGGAGTGGGTCAGAAATGCAGATTTCCAGGCTCCACTGCAGTCCTACCAAATCAGACTCTGCCCCCTCACAAGAGCCGCAGGTCATTTGTGAGCTAAGTCCGAGCAGCGCTGGTCTAGGGGACAGGTAGGACGACGTCCTGCACAGCCTTGTCTGTGGCAGGTGTCCCTCGCTGGGGGGTGGGGAGGGCGTGCCACAGCGGGAGGCAAGGTGGCCGTGTGCCCGCAGGGACACACAGGGATCCCACGTCGTGGGCTGAGCAGAAGAAGCAGGGATGGGGATGAGAACCCATGTCTAGAAACACGCACATGGAAAAATGACAGACAGGACAGTGTTGGGACAGTTGGTGGAAGGAATGTGGACTGTATGTCAGGGAACAGTGTTGTGTCGTGTGAACTCTCCCGAATGTGATCGCTGTCCCGGGTTATGTAACATGACGTCCTTGTTCTCCGGAGGCGCCTGCGACATCGAGGGGTGAAGGGTCCCCATGTGTGCAGCGGACGTCCATATGGGTCCGCCCAAAATCAAGTATACTGGTACGTGGAGAGAGAGAACATACAGCAAAACGTTAATAATTGGTGAATCTAGGTGAAAGGGACATGGGAGTTTATTGTGTTTTTCTTGTCGCCTTTTTGAGGGGTTAATTTTTTTTTTTCAAATTTAAAGTAAGAGAGAATACTAAAAAATTCAGCACAACACAGTTGTGCCAATTTAAGGCAATGTGTATTTTATGAGAACAGAGAGAGCTGGAGAGACTGGCGAAGTGTCCTCTCAGGGAAGGGGAAGCAAGTGAGAGGCGGGCCTTGCTGACTGGAGCACCTGAGGCTCAGGAGGGCGACGGGTGTGACACTGAAGGGCCTGGCCCCCGGAGCCCTTTCCTCACCTGTGGAACAGGGGAGCAGGGGTACCCCGTCCTCGGCCTTGCTGCGAGGCTTGCGGCTCCAGAGTTGGAAGGACCCTTTGCACAGTGCTGGGCCCATAGTGAGAACTCAGTGAACTGGGCTGTCCCAGTGCTGGGTCCTCCTGTCCCAAGATCACAGACTCTGGATGTCAGAGAATGCACCCCTCTGTCCTGCGATTGAATCACCTTTACGGTGTCCTGCTGGCCAGTGCCCAGCCTCTGCTTGATCTCCTCCCATGACAGGACACTTACTCTCTAGGCAGTTCATCTGATCTCAGGCTGGTCTATTGGCAGCTCTTTTTTTCTTTTTTAACTTTTTTTAAAAAATTGAGGCATAATTGACATACCACATTATGTTAGTTTCAGGTGTAGAACGTAATGATTCGATCTTTGTATAGACTGCAGATGATCACCTCAGTAAGTCTCGTTAGCATCTGTCACTGCACGTAGCTACAATTTTTTTCTTGTGATGAGAACTTTCAAGATCTAGTCTCTTAGCAGTTTTCAAATATGCAACGTGATATTATTAACGGTAGTCGCCATGCCGTACATCACATCCCCATGACTTGGTTATTTTATAACTGGAAGTTTGTACCTTTTGACCCCCTTCACCCATTTCACCCGCTCCCACCCCCAACCTCTGGCACTGCCAATCTGTTCTCTGTATGTGTGAGTTCGGTTGTTTTTTGTTTTTTAGTATTTTTTTAGATTCCATATGTAAGAGAGATCATACAGTGGTTGTCTTTCTCTGTCTGGTTTATTTCACTTAGCCCTCAAGGTCCATCCATGTTGTTGCAAATGGCAACATTTCCCTCTTTGTTATGGCTGAATAAGATTCCCTTGTATATATAGATCACATCTTCTTTATCCATTCATCCGTCAATGGACACTCAGCTTATTTTCCATATCTTGACTATTGTAAATCGTGCTGCAAAGAACTAGGAGTGCAGATACCTTTTTTTTTAAACTAGCGTTCTCATTTTCTTCAGATAAATACCCAGAAGTGGAATTACTGGATCATGTGGCAGTTGTATTTTTAATTTTTTGAGGAACCTCCATACTGTTTTCCATCGTAGCTGAGCCAATTTGCATTCCCACCAACAGTGTGCAAAGGTTCCCTTTTCACCAAATCCTCCCCCACACTTGTTATTTCCTGTCTTTTTGATAATAACCATTCTGACAGGTGTAAAGTGATATCTCATTGTGATCTTGATTTGCAAGACCCTGATGATGAGTGATCTTGAGCATCTTTTCAGGAGCCTATTGGCCATCTGGATAACTTCTTTGGGAAAATGTCTATTCAGTTCCTCTGCCCATTTTTTCAAATTGGATTGTTTGATTTTTTGCTATTGAGTTGTAGGAGTTCTTTATATATTTTGGATGCTAACCTCTTATCAGATATATGATTTGCAAATATTTTCTTCCACTCAGTAGGTCATCTTTTTATTTTGTTGCTGGTTTCTTTTGCTCTACAGAAGCTTGATGTGGTCCCACTTGTTTATTTTTTTATTTTTTATTATTTTGTTGTTGTTGTTGTTGTTGTTAGTATGGTGTCAAGTCCAAAATATTATCACAGAGACCAATGTCAAGGAGCTTACCATCTATGTTTTTTTTCTAAGAGTTTTATGGTTTCAGGTCTTACATTCAAGTCTTTAATCCATTTGTGTTCATTTTTGTGTCCGGTGTAAGATAGGGGTCTAGTTTCATTCTTTTGCGTGTGGCTCTCTAATTTCCCAGCAGCAACATTTGCTGAAGAGCCTGTCGTTTCCTCAGTGTGTATTCTTGGCTGCTTTGTCATAGATCTATTGACCATGTATGTGTGTGTTTATTTCTGGGATCCCCATTGTGTTCCATTGATCTGTGTGTCTGTTTTTACATCAATACTACACTGTTTTGATGACTGTAGCTTTGAAATCAGGACATGTTATGCCTCTAGCTTCACTGCTCTTTCTCAACTGCCAGTTCTTTCTGATAACGGAGTCCAGCTTTATGTACTGGGGGTCTCCTCCCATGGAGTCCAGCCCTTTCTCTTGGGACCGCATGGAGCACATCACACATCTAATCCACAGGCAAGTTCCAGCCGCCTTGGTCTCCTCTCTGGTCCCTCTAGCCATCCCTCCTGATGCTCCAGGTGCCCCACGTTTCTTCCCTCCCACCTCCCAACCTTCTTATTTGTCCGGATCCTTCCACCCTGCAGGCCTGAACACAGACTCTGGGTACAGAATGCAGATAAGACACAGGGACCTTCAGCAGTTTCCTTTTATGGGGTGGACTTAACTGATGCCACGGCTCCCCTTCGCTCTTATCTTTCTCTGGCATCCTAAAAGGCCCAGCTTTGTGCAACATAAAGGTGGGGCTCCTAGCCTGCCTCCCTTCCTCCCTTAGTCAGAGGAGGGTCAGGCTGAGTCTGCCATGTACCAGGAAGACCACAGGAGACCCCAGCCAACCATAGACATTTGTAACTGAAAATGTGGCTTTTTCCTCTTTTCTTTTAATTATAAAATAAAACAAGTTCATCAAAAAAAAATATGAAACAGTTCAGAAGTGGATAAAGTAAAAAGCAGTGTCCTTTTCTCCTCTCCCCCTCCCCAAATCTTAACCTGTGTCGACAGTTTGGTGTTGTTCCTTCCGGGCATTTTTTTCCTTCTATATGTAAATAAGTATTTTTTTTCCTCCCAGAGGGCACACTACACAGATGGCTCATTTATCGGGGTGATGTTTCCATGTTAGCACATAGAGCCCCAACCATTTCTTTCCTTATGTTTTAAGTGACATATTAAAGACAACTTTATTAACTATTCTTAGAACAATGGTGTGCCCGAGGCCAGCAGACAAGCAGCATGATGGGTGTCAAGTGAAAAGCCCGTTATTTCCAGTGCAGACCCCTGTCCCACCCCAACACTGACCCCTGCTCAGAGTTCTCTACGCACACCTTAACGTGGGCTCCCCTGTGGAAATGCCACGGGCCGAGATCATCCCGTGTACGGTCTCGTGGCTGCCCAGGGCCACAAGGGGTGGGCAGGCCACGCTTGTGACTAACCTCCTGCTGATGACACTTAGGTTACCCTTAGCTTTTCACTTTTAGAGAAGGCTGCAGGCCTCCCACTGCCCAGATGCCCTTAGGTCCGTGTAGGAAACATCCCGAAATGGGCTGGCTGGACCAGAGCCCATTGGCTGGACCCAACTGCAATCAAGTGGGTGCACAGTCCCATCGGTGAACCCGATAACGCAGGAGGGAAAAGAGCACGAGGCCAGGAGCCGGGACACCTGGGTTCTGTCCCCAGCTCTGCTGCTCCCCCGCTGGGAATTCCAAAAAAAGTCGCTTTCCCTCTCTGGGCCCGTTTCCTCACCCTCAAATGGGGATGCCGGCCCAGGGGGTAGAGGATGCCTTGCCTGCCTGCAAGCAGGACCCAGTCTCTAAAAGTGGGGCGAGAGGACCCTTCTCCAGCTCTCTGTGCAATTCTTCCTTGTGATCTGGAACTGACTCTCTCCACTCTGGGTAACCATGGAAGGGCTCTTGGACTTCTCTGGTGGTTGGGGTTGGGGCTGGGGGTTCGGTTTCTGTTCGAGGACCTGTCTGTGTGGGGCTGGCCTGCCTGTGGCCCCCTCAGAGAGAAGTGGCGCTGGGATGAGATGGGGGCCGTGGTTGTCTGGGCGAGAGTCTCGAAGGACCTTACAAAGGCCCTTCCGGATCAGCCTCCCATCGATGACTTGAAGTCCTGTCACATGACCGCAGGAGGGTCTTCTGTCATTTAGGGTCCAACCAAGAAACAGAAACACGTAGCCATTTCAGACAGAGAGACTTATACAGGGAGTTCATTCCACAGGTCAGGGGAGAGCTGAGAGCCGAAGAGGGGATGATGAGTCAGCCCAGAGATGAGCTGGTGCCCTGGGGATGGAGGGAGCTGGTGCTGTGGGGATGGAGGGAGCAATCAAGGGGATGCCCTTGATTGCAGTTGGGTGCTCTGCCCTGGGGTGGTGGGGTCGGCAGAGCCTGGGAGCCCGGGCTGCCTGGTGCCAGGTGGAGGCTGCTGGGTGGGAGCTGGACCACGGCGGGGATGCAGCTGCTGCCGGCCATCTCGCTTGAGGAGGAAGATGCCAGCTTCTGTCTCTATCCCCCTCTTCCGTCTCCCCAGACCCTGCCTTGCCTGACCGGAACCGCGCTGACAACCCACTGGCAAGGGAGTCTGGGACATGCAGCCCACAGACACCGGCCCCCTGCCACACAGGAAGGAAGGTGTTGGAGGCGAGAGGCCTGGGACTGGCCCTGTGATGACTTGTCCTTAAATGCTTCGGGTGTTGGGGAGCTCACTCTCAAGCTCTGGAAGGAGCAGCAATAGTCCACTTCGTTGCCAGCTGAGTATGAACGTTGGCTCAGAATAAGGAAGAAAGTTCCCTGTGACTCCCCCGCTAAACCAAGGGATCCGTCTTCAGAGCATCAGCCCTTTGTGTAGTAGGACAGTTGGCTGCCCCAAGCCTCGGCTTTGCTCACGCTCTCGTATCTGCCAGGAAAGCCCTTCCCACCCTCCACTGCTTGGCTAATTACCCATCTGATGAGATGGAGCTCTTCCAGGAAACTTCTGGCACACCCTGTGCCCTTCTATGGCACCTCAGACTTTGTTCTCTGTTCTGCACTAACCACGTCGCGGTAAACGTGGATTTCTGCGTTTGGCCCCCCTGATTCACGGGGGGCACAGAGACTGATGGCCTTGGGTGGCATCACATCCCAGAGACGCTCCAGTGTGCCGAGCCTACCAGAGCTTTGTGGACGCGCTCTAACTTAATCCTCCGCAGGATTAATCCTGAAAGTAGCTATGATTAGTCCGCAGTTTTCAGCTGGAGGATCTGCGCAGAGCTGGGATTTGAACCCAGCTTCTTCTGGCTGGGAAGGCCACGTTCCTTCGCCGTGGGCCACGTGGTCTTGTCACAGCACGGCTGGCCCGGGGGTGCGACTGCCTCACTGAGACGTTTTCGGTTCAGCTTCTGGTGCCTCGCCCCCCACCCCCTGTCCCAGCCCCTACGTCAGCCCCTCGCAGACGAGGATGCCGTTCCCATGGCCACTTCTCCATTCTGAAATGACCAAGCGGCCTGGCTGGGCCGGCGGCTCTAACCACAGATTGACAGATGTTTCCATGTGTGGAAGTGGGGTTTGAGTCTTGAGGCGCTGTTTTCGCGGTTCCCTTTTCGGCTCTTGTCCTTGGGCGACGTGACCCATCACGGTTTCGTGGCCCTGATGTGTTTCCCATGTGTACTGTTCACAATCTTTAGACTGTTCTTAACAGTCCTTTTTGTGAGCATAGCACGTTCCAGTTTGCAGAGCCTGTTTATACACATTAGCTCATTGGATCTTCCCAGCAAACCAGGAGGGGGCTTATTTGACAGATGAGGGTTCAGAGAGTCTAAGAAATGACAGCAGCAACGGTTTGCAGCCCTTGGCTGAACTCTTAGCACGTGTCCCTGAAGCACCGTGCTAAACCACGCGATGCAGCCGTGGGAGGTGGGTAGCGTTATTATTCCTATTCTAGAAGTAGGGAACTTGACGCTCCAAGAGGATAGTTGACTTGCCCAAGGTCACAGAGCAGCAAATCCAGACCCATCTCTTAATTCCTGGTCCAGTGTTCTAGCCAACTCTTTTTTTTTTTTTTAAAGATTTTATTTATTTATTTGAAAGAGAGAGAATGAGAGAGAGCACATGAGAGGGGGGAGGGTCAGAGGGAGAAGCAGACCGCCCGCTGAGCAGGGAGCCCGATGCGGGACTCGATCCCGGGACTCCAGGATCATGACCTGAGCCGAAGGCAGTCGCCTAACCAACTGAGCCACCCAGGCGCCCCTTCTAGCCAACTCTCGAGAACAGCTGCCAAACTGAGCAAAAATGCCTTGTTATATCTCAACAAATCTATGACATCACTGCATACAGACACACCACTATTTTATATGCCATAGGAAATAAAAATGCTGTCAATTAGGCTAAGACAATACTTTCTTATCACTTAGACTTTTTTTATTTCACACTTAATAAAAAAGCTCCTCTAGATTTAGGTGCATAATGTACACATATCACTCTTGTACATACATAAAAGGAACATTTATATGAAAATAAAATGATATGAAATTTACACGAAAATGTACTTCGTCACATTGAAAATCTGACTCTGAGTCAGAGTGACCAATGCCTGTGCTTTTTTTTTTTTTTTAAGATTTTATTTATTTATTTGACGGAGAGAGACACAGTGGGAGAGGGAACACAAGCAGGGGGAGTGGGAGAGGGAGAAGCCGGCTTCCCGCTGAGCAGGGAGCCCGATGCGGGGCTCGATCCCAGGACCCTGGGATCATGACCTGAGCCGAAGGCAGACGCTTAACCGACTGAGCCACCCAGGCGCCCCTACCTGTGCCTTTTTAAACAATATTGTCCTCTGTGTCAGCAAGTGTTGGTGATCTCTCTCTCTCTCTTTCCGTTTTTAAATGCATTTTATTCAGCAAAAGCTTACATATAATAAAGTGCACAAATCATAAGTACATCTGATGAGTTTTTATCCATGTAAATATACATCTGTGATCATTGGTGAGCTGATTGTTAAATATTTAGGAATTTTGCAAACCAGCTTTTAAACTGTTTATTGTTCAAAATCAGCCATCGTGGGAATATTTACACCATGGAAACTGGCAAATGCTACAGTTCTGGGCTTTTTTTCTCTCTCAGGGACCAGTTTACCAGCACAGTATTGAACTACCACTGGGTTTAGGAAAGAGATTTCCAGCACCCCCTAGAAGGCAAACTCTATGCTCTCCCTAATCCCTCTGCCACAAGCTAACCATTCTGAAGCAGCTTTTCTTCCAAGAATCCGTAGGTGGACTGGTGGCCCCTCCACGGGCTCTGCATTGTGCAGTGCTCCCCACTTTTCACTCCCACAGGAAGAATGCTGCTAAACACGTCTGCTTGCCCACCTCCCCTGCCCTGTACCCACAGCCGTCTGGTTCCTAGAGGCAAAGAATACTCCTGTACTGTCTCCAGGATTTTTTTTTCCCAAGCCACAGAAACCCATACTAGAGAGATGCTTGGCTTGAGAACTCCATCCAGAGGGCCCCTGGCCAACAGCTCTGGTAAGACACACCCCAGTTTTCAGAGATAGTAAAATGTGAAAAATGGCGCCTCTTAGAACCGCTGAAATACTGAGCACTATTACCCTTCTGAATGTCTTCCTTTCCGGTTTCCTTTGAGAAGCAGCTCGTCTTGGCGATCGAGCCTATAAAGATGTGCCTGCGTTCCCTGGAGGCCAGCGATCTCATGGGGCACCCCACCCCTGGGCGAGCGGGGTCTGCCTGCTTCTCTGGGGTCAGCCCTGAGCTGGAAAGAGAACCCGAACCCTGCAGGAAATCTCGGCGTTGCCACCAGCCTGCTTCTGGACGTCTCTGGGGATTGCTCAAAGTGTACCCTTATGGGGTGGCACCTCGGACACACCTCTGTGATGACTGTTTCAGGATCAGCGTGGTCTTCTCCACCCAGCCGTGACCTTCTGCGACTGGCTTTTAATCACCCCTGGGCTCCCTCAGAGCCCAGCACGCCCCTGACGTGGGGCAAGTGTCCGGGATATATTTGGATGAGTGAGCAGATGACAGAGCAGGGATGGAGAGACTTCATCCTGAAGGCCCGTCTCACTGCCCTGGAGAAAGTCACTTCTCTATCACATCCACAGGGGCACTTGAGATGACCACGCAAAATGGCTTTGCAGGAGCTCTGCGGGCTTGAGAACATGACTCATGTGACCCCTTCAGAGAAGTCAGGACTCACGTGCTATTTGAGTCCTTGCTCTGGGGCCGGACACAGAGCACTTTGCATGAATCCCTTCAGTGCTTCTCAAAGTATGGGCCACAGACAAGCAGTGTCAGCATCCCTCTGGAACTTGCCGGAAATGCAAAATCTTGGGCTCCTGCTGAATCTGAAACCCTGGGGATGTGGCTAGTAGTTTGTCTTTGACAAGTGCTCCAGAAGGTTCTGCTGAAAGCTAACATTTGCAAATCACGGCATGAGCTCACGAGTCTGCCCACCAGTCCTGTGAGGTAGGTACCATACCTACCTCATTTACCATAAAGAGCAAAAACCTCGGTCGTGCGGCTTGGTCCCCAACATGTCCAGACTGGAAGACAATTTTTTTTAAAAAAGCTATCATTCCTACACCATACAATTAACCCTTTTATAAGGTGTACCATTCAGTGGTTCTTAGTATAGTCATGAGGTTATGCGATCATTACCACTCATATGATCATTGCCTCCAAAGCAACGTTGTACCTTTCAGCAGTCACTGTGCATCACCCCCTCTCCCAGCCCCTAGCAACCTCTCACCTACTCTCCATCTCTATGGGTTTGCCTATTCTGGACATTGCATATAAATGGAATCCTATAACTTGTGGTCTTTTGTTTCACTGAGCATCATGTTTGTTTGCAAGGTTTATCCATGTTATAGCATGTGTCAGTCCTTCATTCCTTTGTGTGGCTGAGTAATATTCCGTTGTATGGATAGACCACATTTTGTTTACCCATTCACCCACTGATGGGCTTGGGTTGTTTCCGTTTTGTGGCTATTGTGAAGAGTGCTCCTGGGAATATTTGTGTACAAGTACTTGTTGGAACACCTATTTTCCATTCTTTTGGGTATATATCTAGCATTAGAATTGCTGGGTCATGTGGTAACTCTGTGTATAACTTTCTGAGGAACTGGCAGACTGTTTTCCAAAGTGGCTGAACCATTTTAAATTCCCACCAGCAGTATATGAAGGTTCTAATTCCTTCAACATCCTTGCCAACATTTGCTATTTCCTTATTTTTTCCCCTTTAATTGTAGCTGTTCTAGTGGATGTGAAGTGGTATCTCATTGCACTTTTGATTTGCATTTCCCTCATAATTAGTGATGTTGAGCATCTTCATGTACTTGCTGGCCATTTGCATATCATCTTTGGAGAGATGTCTATTTAAGTCCTTTGTTTATTTTTGAATTGAATTTTTATCTTTTTTTTTGTTGAGTTTAGGAGTTCTCTATATATTCTGGATATTAATCTTGTATATGAGATATATGATTTGCAACTATTTTCTCCCATTCTGTAGGTTGTCTTTGGACTCTGTCAATAGTGTCTTTTGCCGCACAATTCTTTTTTTTATTTTGATGAAGTCCAATTTATCTATTTTTTCTTTTGTTGTTTGTGCTTTCGTGTCATATCTAAGAATTCAAGGTCATGAAGATTTAACCCCTATGTTTTCTGTTTTCTTTTTTTCAAGATTTTTATTTATTTATTTTTAATTAATTAATTAATTAATTTATTTATTTATTTATTTGAGAGAGAGAAAAAGAGAGAACGTGAGTGGGGGGAGGAGCAGAAGGAGAGGGACAAGCAGATTCTGTGCTGAACATGGAGCTTAACACAGGGTTCAATCCCATGACCCTGAGATCATGGCCTGAGCTGAAATCAAGAGTGGGATTCTCAACCGACTGAGCCACCCAGGTGCCCCAACCCCTTTGTTTTCTTCTGAGAGTTTTATTGCTTCAGTGTTTACATTTAGGTCTTTGATCCATTTTGAGTTGATTTTTGTATATGGTGTGAGGTAGGGGTCGAAACTCATTTTTTCATGTGGATGTCCAATTGTCCCAGCACCATTTGTTGAAGAGACTAGAAAGAGACAATGTTTTAAAGAAAAATGTCAAGTAAAATACTAGTGTAGCTGATATAGCAAAAAGTGGGAAGGTGGTACTTGAGGGAGATGTTTCTAGTGGATTCTTGCTCCTTAAGGATTTCCTCTGCCCTGAGGACATGCTCTGTTCACTAAAAGATGCCAGGACGAGGTGATATGGCCACTGGTCTCCTACCCAGAGGGGCAACTTGGCAAGACCCCAGCCAGGTTTCCCCTTCTCTGCTTTTCCTAGACCTACATCTATGAACAAGGGGTCTCTGGGAGTAAAGAGGAGTGATCTCCCTCACCTGCTCACCCAGTACCCAGCTGCTCCCTCCTCTTCCCCTAACTGGACCTTGGCCCAGCACCTCTCCCATCTGGCCAAATGCAGTTCAAAAACAACCTCAAGAGCATTTGGATATGTTTTCCTGCCTGGACTAATGACACTTCTGTCCACATCCTGGACCCAAGTTCCCATTGGGTGGGGTGGCAGTCCTCACCTCCTGAAAGTTGGTGGAAATGTGTGGTTTTTCCTTTTCTCATTTTGCTTTTGGAACATAAGAACCTTTCCAAGTCTCTCTGGCCAAAAGATGACAGTACGGGCCTTTTGGCCTCCCTGCCCAAGCCGAGTGGCTCCATGTGTTGCCCATCTTTCCATCACCCACACGGTTCCAGGTGTATTCATTTCCTAGAATTATCATAACGAAGTGCCACACACTGGGTGGCATAAAATACCAGAAATGTATTCTCTCACAGACTGAAGACTGGAAGTCCAAGACTGAAGTGCCCTCGGAGTTGTTTCTTTCTGGAGGCTCTGAGGGAAAGTCTCTTCCATGCCTTTCTCTTGGCTTCTGGTAGTGGCTGGCAATCCTTGGTGTTCCTTGACTTGTAGAACATCACTCCAGTCTCTGGTCTTCTCCCTGTGTTTCTGTCTCCGTGTCTTCTCCTCTTATAAGGACACCATTGGATTAAAAGCCCGCCCGACTCCAGTATGACTTAATCTTAACTAATTACATCTGTAGTGATCCTATTTCCAGATAAGTTCTCATTCTGAGGTTCCAGGAAGGACATGAATTTTGGAGGGGATACTATGCAATCCGTGGCACCAGGCAATGCCAAGGGCATAACTGGGAAAAGGCTATAGCTGACACTCCATTTCTGAGAGCCTCCTGTGTGGTTCTGCTTCTAACAGCCTGCACCTGAGCCTGGGCGTTAGCGCGACATGTAGCACTTCTTCCTCCCTATGAAGGGGGTGAACAGATGTACTGCTCATAGTCTGTGTGCCAGCCCATGATCCAAACCTGAGTCCTTTGCTCCTCTGACAGGTGACTGTAGAGAACTGTGACCATGAGGCGTGTGTCTAGGGATAGAGATAGGGACGACAGAAGCAGATGACATGGGGAGGGGGGTCTGATGCACCTCTTCACTTACCTGGATCCTCCGGATCTGCTCAGTCCTGATTCCAAGTGGTATACGATTTCTAGTCTATATGGGGTTGCTGCTATGCCCTCCTACCCTTATGACCTGGTGGATCTGATAATCCCTAGCTCAGTTTCGAAGCTCAGGTAGTAGAGCTGCTTCCTGTCCCAGGTGCTCAGTCTTTCTTAGGATCCAGTAGCAGGCCAAACACTGTTTTTCAAAAGAAGAGTCGTTCTCTGCTGCTGACAACCCTAAGGGTCTGCACTGGCACCCCCTTCTACCGGGTTTGCCAATGACTTCGCCCAATATCCTGCTCTTGCCCTGTGGAATCTTCTTGGTTGTGTGGCTTGAAGAGCAGGGCATCATAGCTTGGACCTTGGCAGAGTCGTCTCTCTCTTCATCTCAAAGCTGAAAGCTTTCTCTGACAAATGTCAGTGAGGATGTAGAGAAATTGAACTGTTGGCGGGGATGGAAAGTGGGGAGGCTGCTGTGGAGAACTGTATGGCGGCTCGTCAAAACATTAAAAACAGGACTACCATATAATCCAGCCATTTCATTTCTGGGTATGTACCCCGAAGAATGAAAGGCAGTGTTTGAGGAGCTATTTGTACACTCATGTTCATAGCAGCGTTATTCACAGTCGCTAGAACATGGAAGCAACCCAAGTGTTCATCAACGGATGAATGAATGAGCATAATGTGTATCCATACAACAGAATAATATCCAGCCTTAAAAAAGAAGGAAATCCTGTCATATGTCAATGTGGATGAACCTGAGGACGTTATTCTAAGTGAAATCAACCAGTCACAAAAGTACATGCACTTTGTAATTTCACTTATATGAGGCACTTAGAAGAGTCAAGATCATAGAGACAGAAAGTAGAATGGTGATTGCCAGGAGTTGGGGAGTTATTGTTTAATGGGGATAGAGTTTCATTTTGACAAGATGTAGAGTTCTGGAGATGAATGGTGGCGATGGTCACACAACAATGTGAATATATTTAATGCCACTTAAGATGGCTAATGTAGACTTAAAGTGGTTAAGATGGTAAATTTTATGTTATGTGTATTTTTTTTTAAAGATTTTATTTATTTATTTGAGAGAGAATGAGAGAGAGAGAGAGCACATGAGAGGGGGGAGGGTCAGAGGGAGAAGCAGACTCCCCGCCGAGCAGGGAGCCCGATGCGGGACTCGATCCCGGGACTCCAGGATCATGACCTGAGCCGAAGGCAGTCGCTTAACCAACTGAGCCACCCAGGCGCCCATTATGTTATGTGTATTTTAACACAATTAAAAGCACCCACCAGCATTCTAATCACTTAATAAATAGGTCAGAGTATTATTCCCAAGTGTGGTATATGCTGCTTCCAAATTCAAAGAGGCCAAAGAGGGTGCCTTTAAACAATAGGTTCCCTCCAAGTTCCTGAGGTCAGAAGCCTGAAATCAAGGTATTGGCAGGGCCATGTTTCCTCTGAAGGCTCCAGGGGAGAATCCATTCTTTGCCTTCTCTAGCCCCTGGTGGCTCCAGATATTCATTGGCCTGTGGCTTCATTACTCCAATCTCTGCCTCTGTTGGCACATTGCTTCCTCCTCTTCTCTGTGTATCTCTTATAAGGACATTTGTCATTGGATTTAGGACCTGCTCAGATAACCCAAGATGATATCCTCATCTTGAGATCCTTAAAGACCCATTTTTTCCAAATAAGGTAATATCTACAGGTTTCAGGGATTAGGGCATGGACATATCTTGGGGGGGGGGGTGCTTTTTTTTGGTCTCCTGCATGGTAGAAGAGGAAAGGTACATGTGTTTTGTCTCAGAGGTGACAGCTCTGTGTGCCTCAGCCCCTTGGGTCCTTGATATCTTCAGCAACATGATGGACCCCTGAATCTTCATGAGGTTTATCTTCTACCCTCTGGCACACATGGTCTTGCCCCTTCCTGCTCCCCAGATTCACAGCAGCAGGGGAAGGGGGTCATTGGCCTATGAAGGGGATGTGGGTAACTTTCCAGAAGCTTTCACCATAATGTCCTCGATAATCTTGACATTCCACGGACATCACCCAGGTCCATCATGTAGACATTGCGTGAGTGTTGGTTGCTAACAGTGCATATCTGCCCCTTTCTCTGGAGACCTGCTCTCTGCCCAATAGTAGGGATCTTACCAGGGAGGTTCCGTCTCTCCTGGGGATCGGCAAGCCACAGTCTGGCTGACCGACACTGGAGTCCAAAAGGCTGGCTCTCGGTGGGGAAGGGGCACCTCAGTGGTGCCGTTCATGCTCCAGAGGCCCCTGGGAGACCAGAGTGAGGCCAGTCTCCAGCCCAAAGACCTCACCAATTAGCTCTCTCCGCTTGCTCTGTCCCCCTTCCCTCATTCCACTCCTGAAAGCCCACGACCCACAGATCCCTACCTCTGGATCTGCCTCTGGGAACCGGAGCTAAGACCGTCGCTGGCCACGATCTGATGGGGAACAGGGCCTTAACAGAGCCCCTGGGCAGGGCCAGGAAGCTGTTCTGCGGCCCCTGCCTTGTCAGGGTCAACGGCTTTGCGGGTGTGCCCGCTGGAGAGACGGCAGCAAGCCCAGCAGCTGAGATCAGGCGGTCCCGTGCTGTCCCCTCCTCAGAGGGACCCTCCCGGCTCCCAGTCTTCCTCCAGCTCACTCTCCTACTTTATTTTTTACAGCCCCTATTACTCTCTGAAACCAGGTGACAGATTCGCTCGCGGCGTCCCTCCGGTCCGAGGGCCTGGGACCCCGGTGCCTCCACAGCTGGTTCTCGGGCACCCAGCACGCCCGAAGGTGCTGAACCAACACCCAGCGAATGAGTAAAAGAGCAGGCCGATGTTCTGTCACTTAAAGTGGACAGAAGGGAAGAATTGGGGTTTTCTGCGGAGATTCTAAAGCGAAGGCCATTTCTGGGGGTCATGGGGGTGGGAGAAACCAGGTCAAGGCAGGCTGTCTTCCAGGTGCTGAAAATCCCCTCGGCCCGGGCCAGCCCCTCACTGGCCGGGCTTCTTGTTGGGTCTGGCGCAGACCTCAAGGAAACATAACATTTTTAATAAAACCTCAGAGTCAATAAAGCCGAATGGTCTCCGTGCCTCTCTTGCCCGCCCCAGCTGTTGACTTTAGAAGTCAAGAGGTTGGGGTGTTGCCCAATCCCCGTGTAGTCCAGGGAGATATAAGCGAGGAGGGCCTGGCCCATTTTCTGTGAAAAAAACACAAAACAAAACAAAACTCACTGGGCCCTGGAAAGATTCCACCACCAGCCAGAATCAAAGGTCCATTCAGAGCGACAGAACTCCTCACATTCGCTGCTAATGAAAACCAAATTTCGCATCCCTCTGAGCATTTCCAGGGACTGCAACTGGAAGGGGCCGCCATGGAGCTCTTGGCCACCCCTCCTGCCACCAGGAGGGCCCCGCCGTGTTAAAATTGTTTTATGATGATATGGGCCTCGTATTTTTCTAATTTCAGGCGTTGGTGATTTAGGACTGACTTGTTTTCATGGAAAAAGAAATAGAACTTGTGTGAGGCAGGGCGAGACGGCCACCTCGGCAGATAGCCCCCCTGGGTGTGGGTCCTGGGGGAGTGAGCCCCGTGGCCCGCCTCCAGGGAGGCCTCGTTCACGGGGCGTCCTCTCGGAATGGGGAAGGATGGACTGGGGGGTCACCAGAGGGTGCAGAGACACGGATTTCCGTCTTTGGATTTCCTGCTTTGTGACTCTCAGAATCACAACCCAGAAAGGCAGACACATCACTCTCAGAAGCAGAGAAAAGGCCATAAAACCTTGCGTCCTTTCTGCTTCTGCTTTTTGTTTTATTTTTTATTTATTTGAGAGAGAGCACAAGCAGGGGGAGAAGCAGACACCCTGTTGAACAGGGAGCCCAATGTGGGACTTGGTCCCAGGACCCCGGGATCATGACCTGAGCTGAAGGCAGACGCTTAACCGACTGAGCCACCCAGGTGCCCCATCTGCTTCTACTTTTTAAAAGAAAAGACCAAAAATTAGAAAATGATTTCTTTTTCCTTTCTTTTTCCCTTTGATGATCAGTCTTTATTCAAGTACAAGCCATGGGGCACAAACCCAGGTGTGCAGGAAATAGCGCCTTCTCCCTGAAGTCAGTTCTTACTTTGAGTTTCCAATACCTTCAGCTGATGGGGAGCAAACAACCTTCTCAGGTATTGCTCTGCCCTCACTAGAATTGGGGGGGAATTCTGTTCTTGGTCCTCAGTTTCCTCATCTGTAAAATGGGGATAGTGATAGTATACACCTTAATGAGCTGAGTTAAAAATGGCAAAATATTTGGCAAGCAGTATTAGCTGTTGTTGTTATTATTTCAAAGATAAATGCACAGAGAAGACACCAAACCTAGCATGGGGTTATCAAGGAAGGCTCTCTGGAAGAGGCGATGCCTCAGCTAATGTCAAAAGCTTCGGTCCAAACCCAATCTTGAACTCCTCTGCTTGCATATTTAGGGTCTAGAAATTTAATAATATATGATCCCCCTGACAAATGTGCTCATTTTGGAGAACTTTGGAAAACACCAAAAAATATAAAGAAGAATATGGAAAACAGTTATAACCCCATCCTTTCAGTGATTTCATTCTAGATTACTTTTGTTTCTATCTTTAAAATGCATTAATTGATATACTGTTATACAATGTATAACTGGCTAGAAAAATGTTTATTCCTGGAAAAGTACATATTTATAGAAAATAGAGTTCTGGATGGGGGAAAAAAACCACTGAAAATATTAACAATGCTTATCTTTGGAGGGGTGGGATTGTGGGTGATTTTTCTTGTGCTCTTTTTGGTGATCTGTATTATCTCCCTTCTCTCCCATGACTATGTATTATTTAGAGTAGTTTTTTCATTTGTTTATTTATTTATTTATTTTTGAGAGAGACTCTTAAGCAGGCTCCACACCCAGCACAGAGCCCGACTCAGGGCTTGATCTCACGACCCTGAGATCATGACCTGAGCCAAAACCAAGAGTCAGATGCTTAACTGGCTGACCTACCCAGCACCCTGTTATTTAGTATAATTTTAAAATGTGATTTTACAATTTGTAATACATAGAACTTGGGAACCTCAAACTCAAGGTCTTATAACTATTATATCTTCAGGCCACAGAGGAGAGTGGGGTGGCTGGACCAGACTCTGAGCCCTGAATGCTTTAGTCTGAGAGGCTGCCTGTGGCCTTGGGTGTGGTGGTCAGGTGGTTGTCATGAGGCAGGACAACCTGTGGGGTGGGAGGTCAGGGAGAGGGCAGGGCTGTTGTTTTTGCACAGCTGTCAATAACAAAAACTCTTACTGCAAACTCTTATTGCAACCTTGTCTCCGGTAGCTCCTTCAGAGGCTATAACCCTGAGAAACCGAGAAAAACAGAGCTGAGGTTTAGGTCCTGGGGTCCTTCCTGTGACTTCAGTGTTAAAAGTGCCTTAGGAACGCTTTGCTCCTCCTCCTGCCATTTTGCACAGGCTCTGCCCTCCTCTGCCTGGACTATTGCAGTAGCTTGTGAACAGGTCTCTGCACCTGCTTGCAGCCCACATTGCACGCCACCACGGTGCGATCCCCTCCAACACACACCTATCTGAATGTGCCGCCACACCTCAGCTTGGCTCCCCAGTGTCTGCAGAACCAAATCCCCTCTGACTGGCTGCTGGTCCCTGTGACCTGGGCCCCCCTGTCTCCCCATCCTGTTGATGTTGCTCCGCTTTCCCCACTGCCCAGCTCCCGTCCTTCAGGCCTGTGCACAGGCGGTGCCCTCTGCTTAGATGCTTAGATGCGGCCCAGCTGCCGCATCTCTGCCAGGTGAATTTCCTGATCTTTCCATCTTGTCTCATCCACACCATGTATCCCATGGGTCAGCACACCTGTTTTCCTGCCTGTCAGCCCTATGTGCTCCTCAAGAGCCTGGCTGTGACTTATTTGCCATTTCCTCTTGCTGTCTGGCAGCTGCTGGTACGGTGGGGCTTGGGTCTATGTTTAGCGAATGAGTGAAGAACCCTGGCCAAGGCCTTGCAGACATCAAGCCGAAAGAGCAGCGTGGGGTGGTGTGGCCCAGACAGCTGCCACCCATTAGGACACCAGCGAGGCCACAACTGTTTCCAGCAGTCGGCGTGGGCACAAAGTAGCTCCAGAAAACTGGCTCTGGGGCTGTTCTACTCCCCAGTCCCCTGAAGCCTTCCTCCTGGCCGGGCTCAGGGCAGGCTTTCTCCACGGGTCAATATAAATATATAAAACAGCCCGAGTTTAGCTGCAAAACTAAAAATAGGAAGCCTGGAATCCGGCCCTCCAGGCTCCTCTAGCCGCTGGACCACACAGGTGTGGATGCGGATGTTGGGGGGTGCGGCCCCTCCCCTTTCCAGCTCCCCAGCCCTCGTGGGGAGGACTGGGGGCACTCCGGGTTTCCGCAAGGAACAGTTCATTCTTTCACTCTGGCTGCCCCCACCCCCATTTGTTTGACAGCTCATTTCATTTACGACCCCAAAACGAACCGATCCACTGAGGTGCCATTCCCTGCTCACGTGGCCAAGCGGGTACGTGGTGTGGCTGAGAGCCGCCCCTGGGCCATGCCGGCGGGGGGAGGGGGGACCTGGGTGCCTGTGTTTATGGGGTCTGCGTCTAACCCTGATCCTCCCCGGAATACCCCCTGCTGGCCCCCCAGGAGTCTTCTGAGACCCTCTGAGCTTCCTTTTTTTTTTTAAAGATTTTTTATTTATTTATTTGACAGAGACACAGCAAGAGAGGGAACACAAGCAGGGGGAGTGGGAGAGGGAGAAGCAGGCTTGGGCACGTGTCACTGTCTCGGGCCATAAAATCCTGCCGGGACGTCCCTCTCAGAATACAAGCCAGAGCTTCCCTATGGCCGGAAGCCCTGCAGTTGCAGGACTGCTCCGAGGGGCAGTGCTTTGTCTGGGGGCCACATCCCCTCTCAGGAGGTGCTCAGCACAGCCCCGTGCCCAGGAGGCCACCTCTGGGAGCCCCAAGGCCTGCACTGCCGCTCTCAGCCTATGGCCAGGCCAGCCACACACAGGCTGTGGGTTGGCGTGGGGTTTGGTGAGACTGTAGGCCCCGCCCAGCCCAGAGCAACTCCTGGAGCCTCCAAAATGGAATTCTGGAGGCCAACGGGCTCCCAGACTCTGGGACAAAATGGCCTCTTCATCCTGGACGGACTGCTTCACGTCCTGAGCTCCTGATGGCAGCTCAGGGGAGGTGGGGGCGCCTGGCCAGGGCTCCAGGACTCTGGGGTTACCGAACTAGGGATGTCAAACTTTCCCTCAAGCCAAGTAAACGGCTGTCCCAAAGCAGGGCCTTTAGTGATCATGGGACCTGTGATTCCACTCATGTACTGGTACTCGGACACAGTATAGAATAGAAGTATGAATAGAAAAGGAAGCTCAGAGCGGGGGGCGCCTGGGTGGCTCAGTCGTTAAGCGACTGCCTTCAGCTCAGGTCATGATCCCAGGGTCCTGGGATCCAGCCCCGCATCGGGCTCCCTGCTCCGTGGGAAGCCTGCTTCTCCCTCTCCCACTCCCCCTGCTTGTGTTCCCTCTCTTGCTGTGTCTCTGTCAAATAAATAAATAAAACATCTTTAAAAAAAAAGGAAGCTCAGAGGGGGACAGGGACCACCCACTGCCACACAGCTAAAGGGGGAAAGCAAATCGTTCTTCCAACCCAGACATTTCCCAGGCCCTTCTGAGGATGAAGCTCCCAAGATTAGGAAGTCCCACTGAACTAGCACCCTGAGGGGACCTTGCATGCTCCCCATCTGCTGCCACCTGCAGGCCACTGTGGTTACAGCCCTCAAGCTCTGTGATCCCCCGCACCACGCACCCCCCCCCCGGGGCCCAGTCCCAGGACTTCTTCCCGCCTCAGTTCTTGTCTTGGATGCATTGGGTGCGCTGGTCCGTGCCTGCTGGGGGAAGGCGATGGAGCTTTGAGTCAGGGGCTCTAGAGGCCACAGCTCCTCTCCCAGCAGCCATGGCACCAAAGTGTGGCTGGGGCGCAGGGGCTTGAACTGTGGTCCCCTCCTAATCTCCACGATTGCCCACAAAGTGAC